TTATGCTTCTCTTTTAAAGGCCAACATTCAGCGCCATAGAGCATTGCAGGTCTCACCACCATCTTATAAAATTTTCCTTTCAGTCTTAGCGGTACTTTTCTATCACACAAAAGGCCCGAAGCATTCCTCCACTTCAACCAATCAACTTGAATTCCACTATTAACATCCCTATCTATACACCATCGCTTTGGACAACGGACCCAAGATATCTAAATCGTTCACACCTTTTAATAATTTGATCACCCAAAGTCACACTTCTGTCACTAGAGCTATTACTACTAAAATTACATTCCATCGCTTTGGACAACGGACCCAAGATATCTAAATCGTTTTAAAATTTTTTATCAAGTTATTTAAAGTTTTTAACATAATTATTACATATAAAAATGCTAATACGCAGTTCTGTCATCATTTTTTTGTGATTTATGCAGGATTTTTCAAATGATGACATTTATTTCTCACCTGAAGAACTGAAAGAATTCGAGCAGCTTGGCTCTGTAAAAGAAGAAAATCCAGTAGATTATTCATTTGTCCCTCAATCTAGGCTAAATAACACGTCTCATTCAAACAGTACCTCTGATGATTATGAGGACAATAGAATTCAGAAAAAACCCAAGTTTGTACATGCAGATGGGTCCGGAACTTCATGGAGCCAATGCCAGGATGCGGAACGATTTCAATTTCCATCAACTGGGCGGGGAAGGAATACCGATTACCCTGAACTCCATGGCACAACAGAAGCAGCATCTGTAAAGAAAGAGCTACCTGATCATGTGCCACGCAATCTTAGCGGCCGCTTTCAGAATATGGATTCTAAGTCTCCCTTTTTCTTCTATGGAAATGTTGCTGATGTCTCCCAAGACACTTGGAGGAAACTTTCACAATTTCTTCATGGAACCCAACCTCAGTTTGTAAATACCCAGTTCTTTTCAGCCTTGATCCGTAAGGAAGGCTATCTTCACAATCTCCCCACAGAAGGCAGGTTCCATATAAATCCCAAGTCGCCAATGACAATTGAAGATGCCTTGCCACACACAAAGAAATGGTGGCCATCATGGGATACAAGGAAGCATGTAGCTTGCATAAATTCTGAAACCGTAGGAGTTTCTGAGCTTTGTGACCGTCTTGGAAGTGTAATGGGGTCTTCACAAGGAATGATTTCCAAAGAACAGCAGATGGATATCTTTCACCACTGCAAAGCCATGAATTTGATTTGGATTGGTCCCAACAAGCTATGCCCTATGGAACCTGAGCATTTGGAACAAATCTTAGGCTACCCGAGGCATCACACGGATATCTGGGACTTGGAGCTACCTGGTAGGCTCAATGCGCTAAAATACTCGTTTCAAACCGATACAATCGGTTATCACTTATCAGTCTTGAAGAGTATTTATCCAGATGGTTTGAGGTTGCTCTCCATTTGTAGTGTGATTGGTGGTGCTGAAGTTGCCTTGTATAGGCTCGGCATCCGTCTTAGATGTGTCGTATCAATTGAAGCATCAGAGAGCAACAGAAAGATCTTAAAGCAATGGTGGAACAACACTGGCCAATCTGGAGAGCTAAGACAGATTGCCGGTGTTGAGAAACTGACTATTCGGCAGATCGAAGGTCTAATCAAAGAATTTGGTGGCTTCGACGTTATTGTCGGTGGTAATCCTGGTTTTCTTCCTACTTCAGGTTCAAGTAGGGACAGTTTGGTAGGAATGGATCTGAATCATTTCTATGAATTTACCCGTGTTCTTCAACGAGTGAGAAGCGTAATGGGAAGAATCCCGGCATCAGCTGGAAGAAGGAACTGATGCCTGGTTATTGCTCATTTTGATCCTCTTTTAGTAGATCAAATTTAAATAAATGGTGTGAAGTTCAGACATTGTGTCATTTTGTTATGATTTAGCTTTTTGTATAATTATGTATTGTTTAGTAATGCCTACTTTTGGTTTAGGAGCCGCTATTCTTTCATAAAGGGGAAAAAAAGAGGATATCCCTGCCAAATTTTGTTTGTGAATTTTATGTTCCTGAAGTTAACTTTGATGTGTAGCTTTGTTGGCAGTGGAGTCTGGGCCATGTTCCAATTTGAGCTATATCCGCACCATGAGAAGTACTTCACCAAATATAAGAAGTCACCAAGTATAAGAAGTGAGGTTTATGAAACTAATTACTATAAATTTAAAATTCAGCTCACAAACACATTCCAAAATCTATATATATTAAGCTTATTTGGTGCGATGGCGTTTTGAAAACGCACCTGACCTGTTTGAATAAATTGCATTTTGATAAAATATGCATTTTTAAAATGCTGAAAACAATATTTTCACATTGCACATATCTAGGTGGTGTCAGTTTTCTGGCAGCGATTTGATTTTTCAAAAAAAAATGAAAATTTATAATAGCCACTTGACTTATTAGCAGATTATTCAATAAGTTACAATTGCCCTAAATCTTCAACCGTAAGCCCACAGCTTAAGCCTGGGCACAGGCCGGGCCATGAGGGGGGTAGCCCTGAGCAAAGACAGCCCATTGGACTTCTCCTCCATGTCCAAAGCCTCGGGCTTCTGGCCATTCGGTAGATGCCAGTCAAAAGAATGCGCCAATGTGGCGGTCATGAGGCTGAGCATGCGCAGGCCCAGATTCATGCCCACGCACATCCTCCTCCCGGTCCCAAACGGCAGAAACCCGAAATAACTACCCTTCGGATCTGCACTCTCATGGAGGCCACCCGGCAGGAATCGATCCGGCCGGAAGTCCAGCGGGTCGTCAGGCCAGACCGTCGGGTCACGTCCGATGGCCCATATGTTGAGAAGCAGCGTAGTGCCCTTGGGAATAAGGTAGCCATCGAATTCGCAATCCTCGACGGCGACGCGAGGGAGGGAAATGGGAGCCGGCGGGTGGAGGCGGAGCGTTTCCTTTACGATGGCCTGCAGCAAAGGTAGCTTCGGCAAGTCTGACTCTGATACCAGACGATCCCGTCCGACGACAGAATCCAGCTCTGCTTGGGCTCGTTTTAGAATGATTGGGTTACGGATCAGCTCGGCCAAAGCCCATTCCGCCAGTAAGGAGTTGCTGTCGCTTCCTGCTGCGTACAAGGCCTACATGCATTTATGCAAAACCAACATTTTTGATTTGATGAACCTCAAAAATTAAATTTTGATAACATGGTAAAAAGTTTTGGGACGAAGGCAAAGTTGATCGCCGGGGGTTGGTGCATGTACCATCAATAATGCCTTGATGTCAGTGTCTGTCAGCTTGGCGCCGCCTTCATCCTCCTCGTTTGTTTCCTGAAGTTGGAGCATCAGAGTAAGCAAATCCTTAGGGCGAGATTGCGCGTCATCTTCGGCTGCGCTCATTAATGGCGTCGCCTCTGCCAGTGCTGCTCGGTGCTCCGCGATGAATATGTTCAGAAACTTGTCGAACTTGCGGTTCAGTTTCTTCATCCTTGCTATTAATCCCTTTAATGATTTAAACAACCATTTGAAAATTTTCAATACTAGGTAAGGAATTATAAATAGCACAGGTTGGGATAAACAAGAAGAGTGCGCAGATTATATTGATCGGAGTAGAACAGAACATGCCTGTGGATCGAGCCAGCCGAGTCCGGGCACAAAGTCAGATATGCAGAAGGAGCCGGTGAGAGCCATGAGCTCCATCACCATATTTCTAAGTTCTTCTCCCTCCTTCGGGTCTTCGTCGAAAGCTCTCCGCCCAAGCAGCAGCAAAGACAGGGAATTGCCGACGCACGCCGCAACCTCCGTGCTAATGTCCGCTGCCGCCGACGCCTCCTCGACGCTCTGTGCGGCGAGGCGCCGCACCAGTCTCGCGAATTCCTCACGGCGTCCATCTTGGAAGTCCTCCAAGGCCTTGCCGGAGAAGAGATGAAGCGCACATAGCTTTCTCTGCATGCGCCATTGGGGGCCGTAGGGGAGAAAGCCGATGTCCTGGTAGTTATAAGCTATGTGCTCCGCGCCTGAGTTCTTTGGACGGTTTATGAATTTCATGTCGTTGCGCAGGAGCCTTTCGGCTATGGCGGCTGAGCAGGGGACGACGACGTCGACGACTCCGAAGCGGAGGTGGAGAAGAGGGCCATAGGTTTTGGAGAGGCGGTGGAAGGTTTGGTGGGGGTTTGGGCCGAGCTTAGGGAGAAAGCCGAGGAGCGGCCAGCCTTTAGGGCCCGGCGGTAGAGGTAAGCGATGGGGGCGGCTGAGTATACTTTTGAAGGCGGCGAAGAGGAACAGGAAGAGGGAGGAGAGGAGAATGGTGAAGATCATGTTGAGGAGAAAAGGAGTCATTTTTTTTTGTAGCTAATTGATTTGTGCACTCCATGGCAATCGACAGTGTGCTTATAAGTTTATAACATTGCGACCATATCCGAAAAAGAGGAATTTTTGTGCAGTTGTTTCCCAGTTTATTCGTAATTTTTATTGAATTAACCTATAAACAAAACAAAAAAAAAAGTTTTATCAAATCAACTCTAATTTGTTATGTTATGAGATGGGAAGAGTCGTGGTCAAACAAAAGGGCAGATTAAAAAGGGTACAGTTGAGATAGAGCAGTTTGTCATCTATTGACTTCTGTGGTGGCGGGGAAAGACGGGTGCCAAGGCTGAATCACGCCGCGCCGCTTGACTGTGGAGAGAGAGAGAGAGAGAGAGACGTAAACGACATGGATGCCTCGGACCGAAATCGTTCAGCTACAGACAATACCATTTGCTAATGACATTAATAACCTGACTAGTTGCTATTCCATAAACCTCACATTGCAAAAATTTCGAGAGATATTACAAAATGCTTGATGCTAGTACGGTTATTTATTTCGGTTTTTTTTTTCTTTTCCTCCCATTTTTTTTTTTTTTTTATGTTGAATTCTTTTTAGGAACGTAGGTTTCTATTTATTCGTGATATCACACAATTCAATATAAGATCTTGAAATCCTCTCGTGGAAGGAGGGAAAAACTATCACACAATTCAATATAAGATCTTGAAATCCTCTTGTGGAAGGAGGGAAAAACAAAAAGTGTTTTTTTTTCCTGGAGAGACCCCTTCTTGTAGGGTGGCTTTCTAGAGGAATAAAAGGAATTCCTCAGTTTTTTTTTTTTTTTTTTTTTTTTTTTTTTCCATGAAGAGCCCCCTTCTTGTAGGGTGGTTTTCTAGAGGAATAAAAGGAATTCCTCACTTTGATATAGGAGAAGGTATTTAATGAGGATAAGACTTCTGCTCGGGGGGCAACTCGATGTTGGTGATGTGATGGGTGTACTTTGTCTTGAAAATTATCAATTGTATTTATTATTAATCAGACACTACTTCCAGTTGGATCGGAGCACTTCGGACGACTTAAGAGGAAGTGGTCTTTTTTTATGAGCAGATTTGTTCGTAAATGATAATAAAAAAGAGGAGGGACTGGTTTGATATGTTTGGGTGGTCGGCGGTCTAATGCTTTAAGTAAGAAGGCATGGGTTTCTATCCCGGTATTTGAATATACCTTTAGTTTCCTTATTCCCAACTCTTCGATTGGATGCTTATAATGCTCCACGAGAAGGATGAGTGAATGAAAAGATGGTCCTTGCTAGTATGTTGGTCCCTTGAAACTTTCGAGATGAAGATAAGAGAGGGCTTCAAAAATGGATTTTTCGATAGACGTTAGCTCTTTTCGCTTATCCTACGAGGGATTAGGTCTTATTTTCCTTTATTAGTTGTACTATTAGCGATCCAAAGACTATTCTTCTTCTGATTGCATTCATTATGTTTTGTTATGCAGGCAGTAGTCTTCGAGCAAACTTGTAGTGGCTTAAAAATCTACTTATCCTTGGACGCTTACAATTGGGTATATGAAAAGATCATTTTCGCTCCACTTATCTTAACTGTTAAAGTTCGTTGCGAGTTTAATTTTTTGCATTTTTTTTTCTGAGGTTGTTGTTCCTCTTTCGCCCTCATCATTTCTTTATCATGTGTTAAATACAAAGGTAGTTAGGGGCCCTATTCGATGGGTGATGTTGAGTGATAGTTAGGGGCCCTATTCGTTCAAACTACATTTATTAAAATATTTATCCATAGATGATTATAATGATTGAACTTCCCTCATGTTTATATAAGGGCGAAAAGGTGTCGAGAGTTGATTATGTGTCTTCTAGCTAAAGATCATTGGTCTGTAGAAAGGCTAACTAGCACTTTCACCTTGTAGGATGAAGGTCCCCTATTCAATGGGTGATGTTGCAGCGCTTATCTGTCGTTGGGAAGATAAGCAGTTAACTAAGAAAAAAGCAGAGTCTAGTTTATAGAAAGAATAATCTCGAAAGAGAAAGAAGACGTTGGAAGAGAAGTTGCTCCCACAAAACTCTTCATTAAATTTGAACGATCCGAGGAGGGTTCTTTCACTTGTGGAGTTTTGCATATAGATTATTGTCGAGTTGGGTGAAGACTCGGTTTTGGATTTTGGAATTTGAGAACGAAAGTGTTGGCAAAGGAAAAGATCCTGAAACCGTCATCTCTACCGAAGTAATTCCAATGTGTGAAGTTGCAGGGGCTTTCCTAAAGGAGGTAGCGTTGTGTAGATCTTTTTGCGTCTTCTTTTCTTCTTCTTTTTTATCTTATTTATAAGTTGTAGGTTCACATGGACGTCCAAAGGGATGGACTTGAACGGAACAGTCAATGTCGATCTCCTGATACAGGTAGAGTAGATGACAAGTGTGAACAGTAAGCCCGGTTTTTGTTTGGGGGAGATCACAGTTTTGCCCTTGGTGAGTTCGACCGACCCTATTGTGATTATTGGTCCACACATAATCCGTGGATCAAGAGATTTCTGAAGTTTGTGTCCTTTCCCTGGATGTTTTGCCGGTCGAAGCTCAAATATATATATTGTTGAACTGGAAGCTAGAGTTAACGAGATGAACTATAAGGAATTGCTCTTCACTCTACAGCATCAAGAGCAAAGAGCGGATCTTGATAGGGAGACTACTCAGACTATCCAACAGCAGTGGTCGATATTTGAGAGGGAGATAGTTGAAATGCGCCATGTGATATATATGAGATCTGAACTTTACCATCGGCTTGAGGAGGACATTGAAGGCTTAAAAACCGAGATGGTGATCCTCTAGCGACGAGTGGAACTTGGGACTCCAGATAATCTCCTAATAACTGATAAGATGGTCCTCTAGCATCTTATAAACAATGGAGTGATTAGTACAAAAGACATATCAAATAATGGTCTTTCTCTCTTCTTTTTTTTAGTGTTCTCTTGATACTTTCTACCTGTAACCTCGTCGTTTAAGTTAAATAAAGTTATTGATTATGTGATTCTTGACTCCTATAAGTTCTGTATGAGGGATTGTATTTTCATTTTCTTTTGTTTCGCTTGAATTTTATTTTGAAAACTTTGTCCATTTTCTTTTCTTGCTCTATATAAGTGAGGCATTTCAGTCCCTTTGTTGTACTCGATAATTTTTTATGTCTTTTGGTCTTCTTGTTATTACTTTCTGAGAGGTATTCAATAGCGTTCGACCTAGAGAGGAAGTAAACTTCTATTCTGCAATAGACTGATGTGAATGTGGTATGGGTGTAGTGTCACTATGTTTTCGATGATTCAATGGTATTGAGGAAAGCAAGGAAAGGAGAGACGCATCAAACTGAGTACGATTACGAGATTTGTGTATTCCTTGAGTAATTTTATTCTGGCTTGTGATTCGCTTTGTGTCTGGAATTAGCGACCTTCTAAATTTCTTCAAATTATTGTTAATAGTAGTGAGTCCCAATTTTATAGCCAGTGTTACGGCGGCGATCATGTATGTGAGAGAAAAATGGTTGTTATGGTATATTAACCTATTTTTTCATATGATGTTCCAGGTGAGAACTCAAAATGGGTTGATGACATTATCTTCGTTGTTGAAGATGAATGTGAGAACTCAGAATGGGTTGATGACATTCTTTTCGCTGCTGAAGATGAATGTGCTTTGTAGTAGGATGACTCCAGACTAAAGAAAACACATATATTTTGCCCGTGATTTAGAAGGGTGGAAAAGTCCAATCAGGACTCTGTCGGCGTCGAAAAAGACAGTTAAAAAGACAGTTAAGGCCTTGAAGATGACGCGTGAAGAGAGAAATAGTTTTAACGCCTTGGGCAATGCAGAGATGGATAGGATTATTATAATGCTTGATTATTAGGAGAAATGTTAGCTGTTTTTGGTGGGTAATCTCTTGCCTTGGTGATTAGAACCATAGATGAACTGCATGAGGCGTATTATCCAGGTCTGGTAGCGACAGAAGACATATGTCAGCCTTTTCACAATGGGGCACTGAAGGGAACCTAAAGAAGGTTCACCGACGAATCAAGATAGGTCTTTACATTTGAAGAATAGAGGAAATGCGGTTCTAAGGAAGAGGAATTCATTAGAGTCGTCAGGACGCTCTTGCGATTTAGATCTTCGCAAGAGATCTTGAAAGGATTCAAGAAGTGAATCTTCATCGGAGAGCCCTTGGGTGACCCCATCGGAAGGAAATATAGTGATGTTGCATAAATAAGGGATTCAATACTTATTTGATATGACTCGATTGGAGCGTCGTTGGAGAATATTTATATTTGGTGTATCGGTTAGGTCCTGTCATCCATTCTCGTCGCTTGGCAAAAAAACCTAGATTTTTTTGATAAGAAGAGATAACACCTCCCTCGGATGGAAATTTTGGCCATAACTTGGCAGTGGGCCTATTTGGTAGGAACTTCTCATAGGGCTCTGACGTGGGAAAGAGAGGATCTTGAGGCTTTGGAGGGATCAGACCAGATTCTCAAAGATAAATTGGAAGAAACTGCTGATAACCTCAATGAGACCAGGCAACCGGGATTGCCCTTCTCCTTGATAGGGAGCGCTTGAAAAAGGATCCCACGACCGATGTAACTGATAGCGAGAATTTCAAAAGAATCGGTGCAAAAAATCCTAAAGCCTTGCTTCAAAACTGTTGTCAATGTTGAAGCCTTGCAGGCTCAATTAGATTAAGAGAAGAAGAGATTGTTTAAGTTGTAAAGAGAAGTTGAGTCTCTAAACCCAATTCGGAGATTTGGAGAAGAGCTTCATAAGAATGAAAATTGAGGAGGAGAAGATCGTTAACTTTTATCCTTCTAACAATTTCATTGAGGTTAAGGAAATGATTACTATGTTAGCAATGAGGTCGTTGCTTGATGGAGAAAGCTTGGTCGTCTTATTGACCTGATGGAACACTTCCCAGAGGGGGATAGGAAAGACAATTCTTCCGGTAATTTGGAAGAGTCTTCTTGAGTGTTTGTCATAGCTAGAAGTTCTGTAATCATTATTGTTTTTTCTTGAAGGCTCGCTTCCTTTATACACTTGTTTGTAGCACATTTGT